ACTTTTGGTTGCCTATTTAAGTAGTCCGCTTATTACTAAGTTCTACACTAGATGTCATACCTGCAACCCGACTAGGGTTACCTATTTAAACTCTCTGCGCCTATGTGAGTTACTATACATGTTTTTATATATATTTTTATTAGAATATACTATATTTAAAGCTTCTGAAGATATTAATGATCATTTGTATATCTAATAAAAATATTAAGCTAAAGAGGTTAACCTTGATTATATAAAATATTTAATAATATTAAGTTTTAAATTAAAAAATATTTGTATAATTTTAATATACAATTTATTTTAATAAAAATATTAATAATATTGTCTAAATAAAAACATTATATTACAATTATTTTTCTATATAATTATATAGTTAAATATATAGTAAATTTTTTAAAAATATAATTATACTTAAGCTATGCAAAATTAATTAATTGGTGATTTACTAGTCACCCAGTGAGAGGTCATAGTATAATATGATATAGTTTACTTATAGAAATTAGGGTTTTGCGAATGTAGGCTGCATTATTTTAAAACTTTTTTTTTGTACTAAGTTAACTACTTTTGGGCTTCTAATTGAAGTTGTAGAGCTCATTGAGAGAAATCTAATGGTGATTGAATCATCAAAATTGGCCTTGTGAATCATGAGATATCTTTGAAAAATGTTTTATTAACTATGTAAAATTCTCTTTCAACAATAGTATTGATAAAGAAGAATTTTACATAGTTGGTAAAACATTTTTCAAAGATATCTTGTAATCCACAAGACTGATTTTGATAATTCAACTATCATTAGATTCCTCTTAATGAGCTCTACAACTTTAATTAGAAGCTCAAAGGTGGTTAACTTAATACAAAAAAAAAGTTTTAGCCTACATTTGCAAAGCTCTAATTTCTATAAGTAAACTGTATCAGATTACACTATGACCTCTCACTAGCTGACTGGCGAATCACCAATTAATTAATTTTCATAACCTGACTAGGTCAAAATTTGAAAACTTATAAAAAAAATTTTTTTATATATTTTAATAACTAGGTAGGTTTTTTTAAAAATTTTTTTTTTTTTTTTGGTATTAAGATAATTCCTTTTAGTTAGTACTTTATTATTGCTTGAATTACTTTTACAACTGGATGATTTACATCTATCATAAATATATTTCTATATATATAAACTCAAGACTCATATAGTAACTACCTTAGAACAATTTTATTCTTAGAGTAAATCTGCTAGAGCCTTCTATACCCACAATCTGGCTGATCTAGATTTTAGTTGATATATACAGACCAAGGCCCACCACTTGCACCGCAGTTTTCATAGTACTAACTATGGCCTGATCACTACTACACAACTTACTTCTGCTTTTATAGAGTTTATCCAAATCTGGTATATATCTACAGATTATTACTAGTATCTCTAGCTATTCTAAACTACTAATTCAGATAGCCTAGAAAGGCTATAACCTGCTCTTGGTCTCCACGGTTGGGTTCTTTTTCTCTGGCTACTCTTCAATAGTTTGGTTAATGAAATGTCTTGCCAAACACTTCAGACCCATTCAGTTTTTACCAGTTTTTCAAGTAGTAATCTGTATATAATACTGTCAAATATCTGTGCTACCTTTCTATTTAGGATTTTCTAAGCAAGTACCCCACTACCATATTAGCCCTGTGGCTTTTTGCGATTCTGAAGAACTTATCTTGGGTTTGCATCAACTAAACCAGCTTGCATGCCTTTATATAACTTTTTTATTATACAAATATCCCAGGGTCTTCTAGTTCCGGTAAACCATAATTGGTACAACACAATTACAGGGTTTTGAGTTTTCTCAACAACCCTAGTATTCCCCCGAAAAATATATGAGTCAAAAAATCTCCAAAATTTATTTATATTAAGGTTTGTGTTCATATTAGGGCTTTGAGAGTAAAAAATTTGGCAGTAAAATTGTGCAAGGAATTTTTTTGTTAGAGCGCAAAAGGTGGTTTCTTATGCTAATTTTTGAGAAATAAGTGACTTTTGAAAAAAAATCACTTTGTTTTGGATCTTCCTGATCATACTACATTACACCAAATCATGATCAGCTATTGGTCGATTGTCACATATTATACATTTTTTTGGGAGAATGCTAGGGTTGTTGAGTTTTCTCAGCCATGACATTAGTTACTAAATCTATTTTTCCTTAAATTCAATTTTCATCTTTTATGAAAACTGAACTTGTATTCAACCGCTTGGAGGTGTGACAACTTCACCACTTCACTAAGTTGCCACACTCTTATTTTTAAAAAAAAATTGAAAAAATTATAAAATTTATATATATAAAATTAAAAAAAAAACCAGCTGGCCAGGTCTGTTTAAAAGTTTTATATTATAAAAACCAAGATATTAAATTTATATGATCTTATATAAAAATTTATTTTTTTATAAATTAAATTATAATTTGATCTAATTATAAATCTTAATTGATTAATCTTTAGTATAGATAAGTATACTGTATATAATTATTATATAATTATAATATATAAAAATTAATATTTTTAAACTAATTTAAGTAAATTTATTAATAGAGTTTAGATTGAGATTAGAATTTAAATTAGCTCAAATTAAATAGATTTTATATATTATATATAATTTTGTAATAATCTATATATGCCCACTAAAAAAGATCCCTTAAACTGTCTAGTATACAAATTTATATGCTTAAATTTTTAAAAACCTATTTTTTGTGTATATGTAAAATTTTATTAAAGCCACATCTTACTATTTTCTAAGCTAAAATAAAATCTCATCACATGCTGGTTGCTATATGGTTCTTATCTCGTAAAACCGCCTTAATGGCACTTCAAAAATCAACTATACATAGTTGATTGTAATAAGCCTCCACGATCAAAGTTAATATTAAAAAGGGTTTCTTTAGCAATACAATACTAAAGTTGGTCAAATCTTCTTAATGACCAACTTCACAAAGCTGATTTTGGTGGCAATGTTATGGAGATAAGATGGCACAAAAGTTTAGGTTGTTTGGCACATTTCACAGCCATTGTGTGAATTGGTGCCTTTGGTTTGGGTTATATCGAGTATGCCACACTGCGGCTATTGATTGTACCATGCTGCCCGGGCCTTTGGGAGTCACCGTGACCAGTTAGAATAAAAATATTTATATAAAATTTTTTTCAGAGTTCTATTTTTCTTCGAATTATTTAAGCGTACAAATTTGTACGCTTAACTGGACGGTTTAAGGGATAATATTTTCATTAACTATTATACACTTTTTACACAAAATCCAAATAAAATTTGCCAAATAGTAAAAAAATCGAATTAATTGTGGTCCGAAGCAAATACACAGTTGATAAAACAGTGCACAACTGCGAATCATCCTCGTGTCCTGAAATTTTATTTTTTACGCTGGCATTTCGTAATCATACATTCACTTTTACAAGACGTAAGAGACCTCGCTACGCTTCAGAAATAATACGAGAGGGTGGAACCTGAGATGTAGCAAGTAAAACCCGCTATGCAGATCAGGTTAGAGTGAAATCCGCTTTTGCATAACGATAATAAAATTTAAACGCGAATTTTACCCTATAATGATCTACATAGCGGTTTTTACTAGCTCGTAACTCAACTTTCACCCAATCCTATTATAATTACGAAAATTTACTAATTTTCTTAACTAAAGTGCCAGTGAAGTTGGTTAATAATATTAAAGCAATAGCTTCATGTAACCTTTATTTTCTAAAATAAATTAATTATCTGGACAAATTTTAATAGGTTTCAATAGATAATTTTGACCAGATACAATGATCTGGTGGATTTCAAAAAAATAGTCCGAGATCCATCGGATCCAAGCATTAATTTACGCAGGTTACAGGCCAGGTTCGGTGGCAACCTTAACTTAGCACACGTAAGAATATATAGGAAGTTTTATATATTCTTACGTGCACTAAGTAAAGTTAAGGTTGCCACCGAATCTGGCTTGTAACCTGCGTCAACCATTGCTTCGAAAACTGAATATGCGCCTTTCACATTGCCAACTTTTGCGTAAGCTTTCATTAGTGCCGTAAAACTTATTAAATCGACCTGTATTCCTTGCGCACGCATGAAGTCGAATGCTTGTTGTGCATGTTTCACGTCTTTATTGTTGGCAAACATATCAACCAAAGATGTGTAACTAATTTTGTCTGGCGTATGTCCCGTATTTTTCATTTCTTCAAATTCTTTATGCGCTGCGTCAATATCACCTGCTGCTGCGTATCCATTTATCATCGAGTTATAAACTTTAATATTCTTTTGGAATCCTGAATTTAACATTTTCGTTATCGCTCGCTGCGCTTTACTCATATCTGGAATTTTTGCATACCCATCGATCATAATGTCAAAGATATATTGGTTTGGACGGACTCCGTTTTCTTGCATTTTACGAAACAATTCTTCTGCACCTTGCATGTGCTGATAATGAACGAATCCTTTCATCAATATTGAATAAGTAACGACATCCAAAACAACGTATTTCGACATCATATCTGTCAAAACTAGTTCAACAGCTGATTTGTCGCAGTCCTGTATTTGTTCTGATTTTTCAAGATACTTATGAGAATAAAATCTATTATCTTTCTTAGTTGCAAGATTTAATAATATATTGAAAGTCCGATTTGAAGGGTGAAGACCATTTCCAAGCATCTCGATGTATTGCTCGATTGCTTTTTCGAAAATTTCAACATCATCTTGTTCACAGATATATTGCATAATAATATTGTAAGTAACTTGATCGGGAACCAAATGATGTTCGGCCATTTGTTCAAATATTTTTCTTGAGGATGGCATCCCATAAACGTGCAAATAACCTCTCAAAAGGTTATTAAAAACATTCACGTTCGGTGAAATCCCCCGTTTTAACATTTCATCATAACATTTCAACGCTTCATCCAAATTTCGCTGGTTTATGTGGCCAGTGATGAAAGTATTAAATGTCACAACGTTCGGTTGAAGACCCGACGACAATAGACGATCGTATACCTTATAAGCCATCCCTAAGTCATTCATTTTGACGTACATGTTAATTAGTATGTTATACGTCCTCAGAACATGCCAACCGTTAGCAATTATTTGATCAATTATTAATAACACTTGCTCTGTTTTTCCCATTCGCGCGAAGGCTGTCGCTAAAATATGGTAAGTATCCAAACCAGGTTGTATTTTCAGTTCGAGTATTTTGTCATAGATATCTTCTACTGATCGGAAATCTCCAACATCCAAATAACCTGACATTATAGTGTTAAATGTAATGATATTTGGAGCTATTCCCATACCAAGCATAATATCAAGACATTGTTTTGCACCTTTGAAATCATGAAAATTTAAAAAACCATTGATCATGACATTGAATGTGATAACGTCTGGCTTTACGCCTTGTCGTTCCATTTCTTGCAATATAAAATGCGCACCGGTAACGTTGAGATTACGTACATATGACAAAATGTGTGTGTTGTAAGTTGTCAAATTCGGCAGAATCAAGTTCATTTTCATCTCTTGAACCAATTCTAAACATCTTTGAATCTTTCCAACGCGTGCATACATATGAAGCAATATGTTATACGTTTTACGCGTTGGAATAAGATTTTCTTTGATTATTTCAGAAAATATGAATTCTGCTTTGGAAACATTTCCCGTGATGACATATAAATTTAATATTGTTTCATATGTATATTTATTCAAGCGCAACCCGTTCTCCTTGATATCATTATATATTCGATTCAGCAAGTATAAAACGTTCTTGGGTTTCCAATATGGTGCGAATAAACAATGCAAAATAACATTGAAGTCATTCTCAGTTAATAAATGTAATGCCCCCTTTTCCGATAATTCCAAATATTTTGATAATCGCGAAGGATAATTTCGAGATTGCCCAACTACAAATGCATCTTTATTATCATCCATTTTATTTTGTACGTCTTTAAACGCATCTTCTTGTGATTCATTCGTAGGTGATCTATTAGAAGAGATTTTTTTCTCTGTAGATCCATCAAATTTGAAAGGTTTTGCTTTTGTCCGGTATTCCTCGTTACTTTTCTGTGTTCGGTATATCCTCCTGTGTTTTTTAGAATAGTATAATGGAAAGCCTTGACATTTCAGTCTTAATGAAAAGGACGAAGTTCTGGGTCTTGATATGATTTTTAGACCTCTCGTCTTGGTATTGTAAATATTCCGATACCATTGTTGGTATCCTTTAAGCTTTTTAACTCGTGGTGGTATTGACCAATCTAACTGCCTTAACCACGGACTATCAATTATTGGTTGTGGATCATCACCATGCAATTTTACCGTTATCAATGCGGGCTCCTGTAAGTTTTTTTCAATGGATTTACTCTTTTCTTGACGCATCAATTTTATTTTTTCAATATAATGATCCCAATCCTTTGGTGTTGTCATGAACTTATTTCTCATACTAATTATACCGGCAAATGATATAGGGTGTGGATAAATTTTTAGAAATCGTGGAAATAGAAATAGTTTTTTAAGCACTTGATGCGTTGCGAACACACCATCAGCACAATAAGCTACAAGTCTTTGAAAAACCTCGGGTCTAACAAAATAATTTTTCGAACATTTGTCTAATTCTCCTTGACAATAAAATCTGTAGATATTTCGAAGGTTGTTTATCGAACTAGCATCATAAATAGATAGAAAATCCTTAAGTCGTTCCGTATAATCCTTATCTTCTTCTTTAGTAGGCCTATTATATTTGATCCAAAAAGAGCGATGTTGAGTGCAAAGTCCATTTACTGCTACAAGTAAGGACATGTTATCTATATAACTATGACAAGGTCTGTCGTAATGATATTCTCTTATTTGTGCACGATCAAAACCAACATTATGGCCAACTACGAGCCGGTCTCTACCTATATTTCCCATAGGAATCAAGCAACCCATACCACATTTTTTGATTACGATCTTCCCGTCTTGCACTTTACGTTTTAACTTATATTTTTCATCAACTATCTCGCAGGTTTTCATAATCTCATATTCGCCGTTAGCCGCTTCACCATATTTAGTAAGTCGTGGCGAAATCCAAGTATACCACGCTTTTGACGAAGCAGCACATGCTATTAACGTGTAATCACTGTCATCGAGTAAAGTTTCTACATCAAAACATAAAATGTCGTCTTCGGGAAATTCTACAGATTCGGGTTGTTTACCTTTTTCATAACGTGTCCACCCAGACCTAAATTTCCATGTTTTCTCGGACGGGACATCAGGAAGTTCGGAACTAGAGAATTCTTTTGCCAACTCTCTACAAGAACGTGTTTGCTTTTCACCAATATTCCAAAAATATTCGGATATTGTATTTCCACACAATTTTGGTAGTTGAAAGGGAGTCAGAGGCGAAAACTTTTCAGTTTCTTTGCCCAACAATCCATGTTGAGTCAAATGATTCAGTATAATGCAGATCCGTTTTTCTGATGGATACATCCAATTGTTACGCGGAAAAATTTGCTTGTAAAGCCAATTCGGTACCATTTCTATACAAGCAACTGCAATTTTTCCGAAAAGCGAGATCTCTTTGTATAGATCGTTGAGTGGCTTGTCCACGTGATTTTTGTGGGGATAGTGAATACTTCCATTAACGTTAATATTAACGTATCATGGAATAAAAGTTTTTTTTTGAATTTTTGCCGGTTAATGCAGTAATGGAAAAGATAGATTTGATTGGCTGATTTACGAAGATCAAATCTAAAAAATGCGCGGTTGATCCTCGATTTTGATTGGCCAACGGTTGTGATCGACAAAATTCTGGCCCGCATTATACATAAGGCCACACAAATTTAATGACCCGGCCGGTCGGCTTTTTTTTTTACAGCTGTTTTCATAAATTCTGGGACATCTGGCAAAAAATTGGCCGACCGAATATTTGCCGGTTCGATAAGTTTT